GGGTGGGGTGGGGGTGGGGAGGAAGCCGTTGAGAAAATAAGGAGAGAGAGAGAGAGAGATGAGGCTAGAGGCTTTTAACTTGGGGAGTTTCCAATTTCTTTTCCTTTTCTTTTTTTGCTTGTTTAATTTTTTTATTTTTTATAATTATGATGTCCGGGCTAAGTTATCACCTTAGTGTCATAGTAACACCTATTTTTCATCAGCACAAATATTATAACGTTGTCCATCAAAGTTTGAACTGATAAAAAAAATTATATACCGAGTATTTAAATTATTTTTTTAAAGTTAGATATTCATAAAACTTTGATTTATGTATATGTCCATATATGTTTAATTTAGTCAGAGATTAGGCTAATTAATTTTGTCGTCCGTTATAGAATTTTATTTTAAATATTTCAATTTTTTTTATTTTTACACATTAGAGATTTTTGCATAGCCGTTTTCATATATTCGAACCGTAAAGAGTTAACTTGAATCATTTTCTTGACTTAAAAAATTTATCTTAGGAAACTTCATGTATGTTGTCCGTGCACATTTTTTTTTATGTTGTCCGTGCACATTTGCTTTGGTCTAAATGTCTAATAGACTTCACGAATTTGTCAGTTTAGATTCATTTTTTAGGCCAAAAAGTATAATGTTACTGATCGGTTTCAAGTTTAATCTTTATAAAATTCAGAGATTCATTTTTTAGGCCAAAAACATAATGTTACTGATTGATTTCAAGTTTAATCTTTATAAAATCCAGGGTCTTGTCTTCCTTTTGCATATGCAACTCTAGGCGATCTGGGTTAACCTTTCTTTGGAAGTTTATCATCGAAAAATTTGTTTGACCATTTACTATCACCCTCTTTCAAGTACGAAGATCAAAGTTATTAATTTTAAAAATAGATTCGGACATTGATTCCGTATTCTTTTGAAAACATAATTAATACATTTGTTCTACCCAAAGGATTATGAAATATGAATCATGATACTTTTACACTTTTAAAATATTTAAAATGTATTTGGAAAATCATAATTAAGGAAAAAATTATTTGACTACTCAAATATAGTAGCACCATTATTTTTATCACAAATTAAGGAAAAAATTTATTTGACTACTCAAATATAGTAGCGCCACTATTTTTGTCACAAAATGAGTATAGAAGTTGATATTCCCAATTTCCTCTTCATCATTCTCAATTTAGGGTCGTAATCTTGTAATATTCTCATATATTATTCTTTATTCTTATTGTCTCTCAATAAAAAGTTCACCTTATGTCTCTTCTTACTCTCACTATACCTTTTATTTGAACTAAGGAAAAGTGAGTTAGAGCCTAAAAAGGGGTTTAATAATGCAACTTTGTTTTTTTTTCTTTCTTAATTTACGCAATTGGTTAGAAATTTGAAATAAGAGTCGTTTAATATTGCTCAATTTGTCCATTTTCGGAAACAAAAATAGATACCACATTAAAGATCCATCAATGTGCATTTTAATTCTCTAACCAATCAGATGTTACATATATGACATGAATATTTGTTTAAATGAAGAAATAAATAGAGTGCCCACACAGCTTACATACACGTCACGTTTGTAATCATAAAATTTTGTGTCCATTCATGTGCTCAACTTTTTCTGCTTATTCAGTTTAATTTCATTGTTTAACTTTTTCCATGTTCTATTTATTCTTTCTCATTCTTCATTTAAAAATATTTTGGAGGGTGAAGTCAATATTTTCTTCTTATTATTTTATAACATTAGTGTCTATATTCGTTTGTGTATACCTAAACTAATTCTTCCCATCCCATCGAAACACTCCACTTTTGGCAGAAGTTTTTTTTTTTTGCCAAAAGTGCTTTTTTGGCCAAAAAATTGAGGTGTTTGGCCAAGCTTTTAGACTAGAAAAAAGTACTTTTGAGGAGAAACAGAAACAGATTTTGAAAAACAGAAAAATATAACTTCTTTCCAAAAGTACTTTTCTGAAAAGCATTTTTGAAAAAAATATACTTATAAGTAGTTTTCAAAAGCTTTGCCAAACACTAATTACTGCTCAAAATTATTTTTTAAATTAATTAGCCAAACACAAACCGATTTTCACCAAAAGTACTTTTTTAAAAAGCACTTCTCAAAATAAGCAGATTTTAGAAGCTTGGCCAAACATGCTATTAGTCGGATAAAAGAATTCAGCTAACCTATATGGAATTTGATCCTTGGTTCCCCTGTCACTCGATCTTAGGATTCCTTGTTGACTCAAACTCTGCAACCATTCATTAGCTTCCATTGGTTAAATTATTAGTATTGTAGATTTAATTACATTACCCATGCTTAATTACAGAAATACTCCGTAGTTATTTTGAGCTACTGAGCAAACCGTACTTGTAGTTAAAAGACTTTATTTAAATGTTAAATACATTTATTGAGTTATATAATCAGACAGGATTTTGCACCAAAGTGTTTAACTGGCAAGATGATTATGATGTCAACAAAATGGTGTGTATAACTACTGTATGCCATAATTTCTATAATCTCTATCTCTATAATATAATTAGAGCGAGTTTGCTGTCTTGCCCATTGTAAGGCGACACTTTACCCCCCCATTAAAAATAATTTTCAAGTGTTTCATCCTCACAGACCCAAGTCAATATAAAATAAATAAATGAAAGACCCAACAAAAAGGTTGAAGACGAAAAAAAAAGAAAAAAGAAAAGAGAACGAGAGAGCGAATATAGTGCAGGAATGTATACATATTTACAATTAACGTACAATTCAAATTAGTATGGTCAGTGAGAATTAGTATAGCCGTTCTCAACTTGTTTGTGGCTAAGGTGTGGTTGTTATTGTAATGTACAGTTCAAATTAGGAGACTTGATGAGTTCACATCAAATTCCTAACCTCTTTGTACCACATTCTGAGCAGAACTTAGAGGTCTCTCTCAAGTAGGGAGTACCACATTCATCGCAAAACTTCGCAGGACTTGTAGGCTGCATTATCAATATGGTTGAATAGGTTATTAAGTCGGTATTAAAGATATAAGAATAGAGCAAATAAATGATTGGAAAAAGGCACTTCTCCTCCTGATGAGAAATTAGATCTTTAGAGATAACAAATCGGCAATCGCAGTGACAGTCCGAAAAAATTGAATGTATGGTGCTTTTCCTCAAGCCAACAACAAAATGTATTTGTGTAGTCAATTAGATAAAGATTTCAAAACCAGATCAACCAATACTTTGCATGATTAGTCGAGGCATGAAGCTAAAGTTTTTTATATTTATAAGTAGGCATGAAGCTGATGTTCTTTTTATAAGTAGGCATGAAGCTAAAGTATATGACGCCAGTGGTGCTTTGACCTTGAATCTTGGAAAATCAACATAAAGAGATCTCTCACCATTATATGCATACGCCCTCCTACATTGCCAAATTGTTGTAAACAAGCCATGTGTGGAGAAATGGATGGCGACTGCTGAGGCTGAGCAATTTCAGGCAAATGTGACTGAGGGCCACATTGTTGATTGTGAGAGAAGTGGGCTATATGTTGACTTTGGTTGATGTGGTGCTGGTGGTGGCTCTGCTGAAGAGGATGAAATTGAGCCTGATGGGACAGAGGTTGCATATGCTGCTTTGGGGTAGTCTGCTGACTCTCCTGTGGCAGAAAAGTAGTTGAACAAAACAAGTAAGAATCAACAAACATAAATATATAAACATCTGCATTGTTTTAAAGGTAAACTAAAGCACCGAAGAAATGCAGCATTGGGCAACACATGGCAACAAAAGCACAGTATAGTAGGCACTGATATCTGTTTAGGTCCTATCAAGTAACTCATAACTATTGCAAAATGAATCCCAATGAGCAAAGTTTGCTGCCTATTTCTCCACTGGAGCAGAACTTGTGGTCTCTCTAAAAAATCAGTTACCAACAAAAATTGGCTTCACCATTGAGTCTAGTCCATTTGGACCTAGCAGGACAAGCATGGTAATTCTTCAACCTGTTAGGTCTGTGATGACAAAGTTTCAGCTCAGGAACTGCTAATGCTGATTCCGTGCAGTTTTTAGTAGAAGGATATAAAGCTATTTAGGAGACGAACGGTACTAAGTTCCCTGACAACTTATACATTTATTTAATCAGCAGTTTGCTGGAGATTTAGAGCACAAAGGAAGCAAAGAAGAACAAAAAGTGGCTCTTTGTGCTAATTAATAATGATGTGAGAGTAATTATAGCTTCTTAAAGGATTTTTGGCGTTGTACAGGTAACCCTGAAATTAAAAAAAAAACATAAATAAAGCTTAAAACTTAACCAAAAATTCAAAGAAGATAAGAATTAAAATGAAATTTGAAGGAAACTAAAACATCTGAGATAGCAAAGAGGACCCTGCGGAAAAACAGCAACCAGAAATTTGAAAGCCATCTAAGAAGCATTGATTGTGTCTGTGCATTCCATTAATACTTTTGGCAATTCATGAATCAACTCATCCAATCAGTTTTGGAGTTGGAGATTTAGTTAGATATTCTTATGAGCTATTCTGTTCAGAGAAACTGATGCATCAAAGCAATTCCATATATGTCTTGGGTGTGCTTCTGGCTGCTCTTTAATTCATTCAACCATGACACAAGGGCACATTAAAGTAAAACACGTGTTATCATTTTCTCCATCTTGAAGCTCTAGTTAATAGAAGAGGGGCCATTCTGTTAATGGTAAGAAATAGAAATGTACATGCCGATAAGCATATAAACAGAGACATACAAGTTCTAATAGCATAACACGAAGCTAAAAGGTGCGGTTCAATCAAAACCAGCACAGTGCTAAAAGAGGTCAGCAGAACTGAGAACCAAAAAGCAGTAATACACCTAACAGAAGGAGTTTTAAATGTGTACTTAATTGTTAACGTTGGCACTCCAGTAACAGGTACTCCTATTAAATGAGAGTTCAAATTACAAGCATCCTGCATGCAGCTAGAGAAGAAATCTGTTTCTTCTTAACTATTCTCCGATATATAGCATAGATGTGTTACACGTGTTCTAGTTACCAGACGAACAACGTTCAAATCAATTAACACAGTGGATAAGATAAAAAGCTTACTTCACTAACAGAGCGGTAGCTTTGACCGGCAGATAATGAAGAATCATTGTCTGTGCTGGTGAATGCCTGATATACATGAGCAGAAAAACTTTCTATCAATTTTCGGAACAGCAATAATAGGAAAAGGGATATGTATGATGACTACCAGGATCATCAAAACTTACTGACAAACCAGTGATGTTGGAAATTGGGTTTGACGCACGTCTATACTTGTGTCTTGGAGCATAGAATTTATAGTCTCGAGGGGATATTGCAACTTCATTTCGGCCTGTCATTCTTTTGAACCTAAACAAATAGGAACATGGGTCAATTTGAAATGCTGATATTTTATGAATTAAAACATTGATTTACACCATCATACTTCGTTTTACGAGAAACAATGATTCACTTGAAGAAAATGAAAAATACACTGTAGTAGGACAAGATGTCCTTAACTGACAAAAAAGTACATAAAAATGATTAACTTCTAGATTTTCTATCTTATTCCCGTATTGTCATCAAGGTCCACTTACATAATCATTGCAGTAAGAGAACAGTAACAAAGTCAATTGCAGTTAGCTATATTTGAAACAAACTGCCAGATTTGAAACAAACATCAGATGTGGAAAAGCTACTTAAAGCTAATTGGACCTTTGAAGGAAATAAAGATAAAGTGCCAAATAGTGCATGCTTTTACTGTCCTGTGAATGTCTTAACTGAAGAAACAAGACAGAACGTCAAACCATACAAGCAAGAAAAGATCAAATATTTAACAATCTTATATTGTACCGTGTTAAAATTATAAAAGGATATTCATTTCAAACAAATTATAATAGGATAATCCTGTCGTAAGAGCAGCACTTGGTGCTACAATCAATAAAATACCTTAACCCTTTAAAAATTGACAATGTCTAAAAGGAGCAAAAATATTATAGTTAGAAAATGAAGAAAGAAAATATCAAGGCACTATCTATTCATGGTGGAATAAAGAATACTATAGACGAGGAGAAATAGGACGCACCACAAGGACAATGGGGAACGAGTTAGAATGATACCTCCAGAACATTAGATTTCATGTGCGATCTAAACTGGATCAAGGTGTTATAGGCCTACCAAACCAACACTTTTTGACTAATCAAGGGAAATTTCGTCAAATATATCTTTGCACGACAATTACATTCAACCATAGTCCTATAGTGAAGTTTCATAATTGCAGAAGCTCAAAAGAAAATTGTACAGATTGAACTTCTAGATCTGCATAATTCTCAGCATTTGAAGAAATTTCAGATATTGGACTTTAATATGCCAATCTAGAGCAAATTGCACCAAAGAATGAGATCGTCGTCTGAGTTAGTCAAAATTAACTTTGCACAAGCAGTATTTATTCTGCTACCTTCCAGAACAGAATCTTCATATCATCTGGTACACCCAGAAATCTTCTCTAGAAAATTATATGACAAATTTCTTTCACTTGGATTTGGCACAGAGCATATTTACTAACCCAGAAAATATAAGTCACTGTGGAATGTACATTGTCTAGAACAGATGGCACTACTGCCAAGATAAAGAGAAGAGGACACAGACATACGTATAGCAAGATGGATCTATTATCTCATGCCAAAAGAGCTAATAATAGAAGACCGCAATTCTAGGTAACAATAACAGATTAATCAAGATTAATGCAACATCCACATTTAAGATGGAAAGTTTGACATACCATTCTGCATCATCAATATGTAAACTTGCTGGTTTCTCCACAATGGCTAAACCATTAACCACTACAAAACGAACACGCTTCTCCTCCTGTATCACTAATTCAGGAAACCTTGCCCTTGTTTCAAAAGATGTAGCCAGCTCCCGTCTTTTAAATACACAAGGTCCTAACAGCAAAGTAAGAGGTTAACCCAGAAAATGAAATGACAATAACAGGAGTCAGTATCTTTTGCAGTTCAATCTTTGTCAGGAGATGACAATTACAGGAAACAACATTTTCTTTATCTCATATTTGTCAGGAAATAATGATATATGTAACCAGCAAAAGAACAGGAACACAATGAATAATGAAAAAACTAGAAGTTGAAGTTCTAAACTAGATGCTTCTAGTGATCCAAGATTCCTCACATCTTCATGTTTCTACATAAAAAAAGAATCTGTTTTCTGATTCATTTCTTCCTATTCATCTTTTGCCCGCTATTTCCTCTCATATGCTCACATAGATGATGGGGAAGCAACATGTAGAAAAGCAACAATGGAAGCGCAGACTAGCTTAAAATTTGAAGCTGACACGCACAACAGTAAAATTAGCCTTCTGCAATTCCAATGAGAAATCAGATATATCACAGCAAAATGGCTCAAATGGGAGGACAAATGTCATGTGATGGGAAAAGGCAAAGACCAAAACTTTAAGTGTCTCCACGAAATTTTGGAACCTTGGATGTCATACCTTTTCTAGGAAATTTTTTAGCAAGCTTTCTGTATAAACCACCAGCTGCTTCAAGGGCCACACCGATGGTCTTTTCACGCATGCCATTTAAAGAAGAGAGCCTTACATTCACTTCATTAACCAATGTCTCGTACATGTTAGCCACATACATCAAGGGCAAAACACATGCAGCATCACCTTCATAACAGATTTCTCTAGACTTCCTCTTGCTCATTTTATCTTGTGAAGATTGAGCTGCAAAGTCAGCCTCTGAATCGACAACTTCAACTACACGCGGTCTTATGAAATGATCTACGATAATGTCTAAAAATCTTGTCCTTGCTGTTTCAATTGGTGAAATATCTGGTCCATGAAAACTGGCATTAGCAAATCTAAAACTAACGGTCATCTAGTTTCATTCATCCATTTAGCGATCAACTATAACATAAAATCCCCAATTACCATCAATAGTAACAATATTGTAGGAACCCCCTGAAGATCCACTATTCTCAATGCTAGTGCGATCTTCCTCCACCACTATACCGTGAAGTGGTAATGAGTTTCTGAAGGATTCATGGAGACACTCCTGAAAAAGTATAGTGCCATTAGAGTTCATGAATAATATGAGAATATGTACACTTGGGCCCCTAGGCATTGGTATAGGCTTCCGAAGTGAAAAGGTCAGTTATTTCCATAAAAAAAACAATGTTTAGCCTAACTAGTAGAGAAGCTTGCTTACTCCGGCTAATTTGGCACAATTAAAAAGAATGCAAATGTCAAAAAAACAAGGCGAATTCCACTAATTTGGCACAATTAAAAAGAATGCAAATGTCAAAAAAACAATCACATAGAAGAAAGTTATCTCGAAAGACCTAAACTATCTAGGACTCCATGCAGACCTAAATGGAAATAGAGCCGCAGTGGAAGAAAAAGATCCATATAGGTGATACCAATTAGCTTAGAATCTCAGATTAACGCTTAACCATGTAGGCCATGCTTACTTTAGGTCTAATCTTCGCTAGGAAGCGTTTAATCTTATTACAGATTTGTATGCTAGTAGAGAGAACTTCCAGTGTTAGAGAATCTAAATTCTTGGATATTGGAAGAAAACAGTTATAATAGAGACGTGGATAGCGAAGATTCATACAACTTACCCTAACTAGCTTACGGTCGAAGCATAGTTGTTGTCTTGTCAAATTAATAAATTATAAAGGTATGATAGGGGTAACTAGATATCATCAGCCTCACCAAATAGGATAATTGCAAACCGGACATTTTTTACAAACCGGGTTACTCTGCCCACTAAGGCTTATACAGAATTTGATTGTTTTCCCTCAACATGGATTTGAACCTAAGACGTCATGATTCTCCTCCCACTTTATTAACTACTAGGTCACACCCTAGGCCTTGGGTGCAGGATAATTGCAAACCCAACATTATAGTTATACAGAAGTATTTCAAACTTGCATTTTTACAAGAAACTGAAACAACAACACATGATAAATTACTTAAAAGTTAAAACTGAAAACTGAAACTCAAAAGGCACACTCACAACAGCTGTGGAGTCTTCGCCATTGTCCATGCTATCCTCGGTTACATCACCGCCTCCACGATCAACATCATCACCACCAGCACCGCCTCCGCCACTAATACCCTCCGCATTGAGATCATGCAATGAGGTTTCAATGTACGAATCAGCCGCCGACCTCATATCGTAGTGCTGTACCGGAACCCTAGCTCCCATTTTCCCTATCAACTCACCAGTCTACAGTCTACAGCAACTAAAGTGCCTCCAAATTAAGCACAATACCGCCTTCTGCTCAAACTCTACATATAAAGTTAAAATTGTTCAAAATATACACATATATTTAAACTAAACGGTGAGTGATAGACTGAGCAAGTGGCCGGCGTCGGCCCTTTAGGTGAGGCCGACGGCGGAGTAAGCTGTGGAATTTGAAGCAGGGATTTTGATTAACGACTATACAACCTTAACAGAAAGCCGAGCCTGAGATTCTGCGAAGCAATTTCCGAACCTAATTCCCGATGTTTCCTTATCAGTATCCGAACCAAAGCCGGTAGGTCAGTCAATGTACATTGTGTATCACGGGTAGTTGAGTAGGATCATAGCGGGACCCACTAATAGGTACGCTGCACGTGCATATAAAATGTGAATTATCTGACCCGTAACACATAACTAATCTTATTTTCAAGCTAGTTAATTTTATATTTTAAAGAGGCTTACTTATAGTTTTTTATTTGTACAAAATTCTATACACTAATGGTGATATAATTTAACCCCCAAAAAGAATTAAAAGTTCTAAATTTGAAATTTTTTTAAGTTATTAAGCACTTTAAGAAAAAGTTTTTATAGAACATAAATATTATTGAACGTTTAAAAATTATGAGTTTCAAAAGTCTTCGAAATCGTTTGGTTTAAAAATAAATTGTGCAAGATTTGTAATACAGAAATAATGTATTGAATATAAAGCATGTATATTAAGAACATGTTCGGCCAAGTTTTTTGGAGGTCAAAAATATATTTTTTTTGTCAACAAAAATATTTATTTGAAAATTAAAGATGTTTGACCAAGACAGAAAAGCAATTTTCATCAGAAATAATTTTTTAACTTTTAGAAAGAAGTTACAAATTCTAACTTCTTCGAAAGAAGCAGAAAATTAATTTTTTTTCAAGGCATAAATATTTTTATCATAAATTTATATTTTTTAAATTATCCTTCATTAGTATAACTTTTTCTTTATCTTTTTTCTTTATACTGTCGATTTTTCCCCTTTTTATTTTTATAGTATTTTTATTCTCTTTTTCGTATTACTGTTTGGAATAATCTCTCTACTATAAATAAATTAATTCTTTAATCTTTTGCCATTTCTTTTTTTTTTCTTTGTTTCATCGCTCTTTGAAATAACAGGGCTAGTGATCAGAATTAAGCTTTTTCTTCACAAGGTATGATTTTTTTCTTTTGTTGTATGCCAATATTATATGATCATCAGTTTGTAGTTTTATCTATATATTTTTTTGACGTGCATGCATATATTTTAGTTAACAGAATGCAATACTGCTTAGTTTGTTATTTTCTCAAGAGTAGATAGTGCTTTTTATATATGTAACTTGTAATAACATATTTCCTTACTAATATTATTGCAAGGGTGACGAGGCGTGTGTCTATTTTCAAGAACCAATTCGGTTTTATACCGGACCGTTCGACTACATAAGCCATTCACCTAGTAAGGAGATTAGTGGAGCGGTATATGAGTATGAAGAAAGACCTAAATATGGTGTTCATTGACCTAGAAAAAAGCATACAACAAAAATCCCGAGAGAAGTTATACGGAAATATTTGGAGGCTAAAGGTGTACCTGAAGCATACATTAGGGTGATTAGGGACATGTATGATAGAGCTATGACCCGGGTTAGGACTGTGGGAAGAGACTCAGAACGATTCCCGGTTGTGATGAGGTTGCACCAGGGATTATCCCCTAGTCCATTTTTGTTTTTCTTGGTGATGGACGCACTGGCGCATCACATTCAAGGGGATGTATCATGTATGTGTTTTGCTGACAACATAATTCTAATTGACGAGACGTAAGATGGTGTTAATAAGAGGCTGGAGATTTGGCATCAGACCCTTGAATCTAAAGGTTTCAGGTTGAGCAGGACCAAGACAGAATACTTGGAGTTTAAGTTCAGCGACGTAACCCAGGTAACAGACATGGATGTGAGGCTGAAGCTCAGATCATCCCCAAGAGAGATAGTTTCAAGTACTTTGGGTTTATAATACAGGGAAATGAGGAGATTGATGAGGACGTCACACATCGTATTGGTGGTTAGACCAACATTATTGTATGAGGCGGAGTGTTGGCCAGTCAAGAATTCTCATGTTCAGAAGATGAAAGTAGCTGAAATGAAAATGTTGAGATGGATGTGCGGGTACACCAGATGAGATAAGATTATGAATGAAGTTATTCAGGAAAAGGTGAAAGTGGCCCCCGTAGAGGATAAGATGTAGGAGGTGAGACTGAGATGATTTGAGTATGTGAAGAGGAGAAACACAGATGCCCCAGTTAGGAAGTGTGAGAGGTTGACCATGGTGGGCTTAATGAGGGGTAGGGGCATGCCAAATAAGTATTGAGGAGAGGTGATTAGGTAGGACATGGCATAACTGAAGCTTACACAGAACATGACCCTTGATAGGGGAATGTGAAGATCAAGAATTAAGGTGGACGGTTAGTAGGCAGTTGCGCGTGTCTGTTCTGTTTCTCAGATCGGTAGCAATAGTGTTAGCATGATATCTCTTTATTCATAGATTTATGGTATTATTTACTGTTTGATTGTATTCTTTCGTTTTAGTTTTAATTTTTTTTGATATCTCGTTGTTGTTACCGCTTATTGCTACTAATTCTTTTCATCTTGTCTTTAGTCAAGAATTTATGCCTCTCTGCCCTCTAGGGTAGGGGGAAGGTCTGCGCACACACTACCCTCTCTATACCCCACTTGTGAGAACTGATTGGGTTGTTGTTGTTATATATCTATATGTTATATTGATTAAATCTTTACAATATATTTTTTTATGTTTTATAATTTAATTAAATTAAGATAAAAATACTTAATTTTGTATAATAAATATTTAAATTTATTTTTCTCTTTGTTCTTTTTAGTAATTTGACACTCAAAAGTACTTTGTGAAAAGATTGACCAAATATAATTTGCTTATTAAATATTACAAAAAGCACTTCTCAAAAAATTATCAAAAAATACTTTTAAAAAAAATATTTTTCAACAAAAGTATTTTTTAAAATAAGTAGTTTTTGCAAACTTACCAAATGAGCACAAAACTCTCATTAACTTTTAGAAGCTAGAGTTATACACGTGGCTTCCCTTTGCAGTGATGGACATAGATTAAAGATGAGCATGAAGTTGTTCTTAAAAAAGTTATTCGGTGAATTTAATTAAGGGAAAAGGCTCAAAATTGCCCTCGTAAGCTTCTAAATGGCTTACATGTACCCTCCGTTTGAAAATGAGGTCATGTATAACCTTGCCGTTAAACAAGTGGCCCACTGACACCCTTTTACTAACGGCTCCGTTTTTGGCCTATTTTTTTCTCGAAAAATCTGCAGCACGACACGTGTCCTCCTAAACCACCCTCCTTAATTTTTTTTACCTGCCCCCACGTACCTTCCCCACCCCTTCCACACGAGATGGGTCATTGTCATTACCTATTTCGTTACTCCTTGCCTTTCACCACTCTAAGAATCTAGAAAGTAAAAAAGTAGTATACATATTATAAAATTTAACCCAATAAAAAAATAATCTGATCGACATGCAGATAGTGATTACGTTGTTCTCAATTTTGCATTAAACGCAGCGGAAGTCTTCGACATGACGAGGAATGGTGTGATAGTACGCTTTGATTCTAGAAGCTAAATCCAACACCGCTAGCGGCCACCCTTCTCCGCCTTACGTCAATTATGCCCAGTTGAATTATATTACGTGCAATTTCATTTGCAAATATTTAGGTCTCATTTATTATCAAGATAAAGTAACTCTGCTCCGACAAAGATGAGAGACTAATGAATGATAATTTTTGTGGTGAAAGTGTTGGGGAAGGTGGGTAAAATAAGTGAGGGGGCAAGTAAAAAAAAATTAAGGAGTGTGGTTTAGTGTCGTGCTGTAGATTTTTTGAGAAAAAAATAGACCAAAACGGAGCCGTTAATAGAAAAGGGTGCCAGTGAATCACTTGTTTAACGACACGGTTATACATGACCTCATTTTTAAACGGAGGGTACAGTTAAGCTATTTCAAAGAATACGAGGGCATTTTTGAGCCTTTTCCCTTTAATTAATCACAAGAGAGTAATATCAGGAACATGGCCGGCAAGCCTCTAAAACAAAGGATTTAGGCCCCCCCCCTCCCCCCAGCTTTTGAGGCCCCATTTTTTATTAATAGTGTAATTTTTATTATTCTTTCTTAACAAAATACCATTGAATATTGTATAGTAAAAAGGTACAGTATAAGGTTTTTTTTTAATATAATGAAAGAGAACCATTTAGCCATTTTATATTGGTGGAAAAAAGACATGACATGTAGACTATCAACAAGATGACATGGCATGGTACGTGAAACATCGACGTGATGACAAGTGGCGTTCTTAATTAAATGAGTTAAAGAGTGCGGAAAAGGCACGAGAGAAACAGCCATGAGGTTGAGGAAAAAACTAGACCTGGCAGCTTTAAAAGGAGAAACATAAACGAAATGAATAAAGGTTGTGAAGAAGGGGTTACATACGAACTTGTTATAAATTATAAGGAAGGGAAATCGGTACAGTTACAAGGAATCTTTAATCATAAATGTTTCCGTTATGGTTGTACATGGTAATGAGCAATCATGGCAATTAATACCATTAGTGAGCCCGAATTAAGCAAGAGAGTCGTTATAATTGTATGCTCATATATAAGGACTGAAATCTCATTTGTAATGGCAAGAATCAATTATTGAAATTTATACGGTTATTCTTTACTTTACTCTCAAAATTTTGAGCTGTAATTTTGGGAGTGATTATCAGTTCATTTCATATTTTCTTTGTCAATTATTTCCATTACTTGATTTATTCTTTCAAATTATTGGAAAAGTAAAGTAAATACTTTGACCGAGAAATCTATTTTTGGGTTAAACACATTCATTTCAAGGAAATCTCGAATCAGGTTATATTATTCTAACTTTTTATTATCTTATAATTAAATTTTACCATTGTAAATTTTATTTATAGACGTATATTGATTTTCATTGAATATTAGAATTGAAATATGTAAATAAAAATATAAATCGGATTATCTAAAACACACGAAAAAAGAGAGGAGATCAAGAACTGAACCTCAATATAATCTTAAAAAAAGAGCTATTTAAACGGGGTCTTAAAGATGAATCAGATAAGTTGTCAATTGAAAAAGAAATATAAATAGAATAGATTATAAAAACTTATTAACAACTTTGCATCTTAAAAAACTAGAAAAAATACATTAAAGAAAAGTATATATGTGATTTTGTTTTTCCAAAAACAAATTAAAGGCCTCTTAATAAGTTTTGCTTTAGGCCACTAATTTGGTTGAGCCGTCCCTGATCAGGAAGTGCAAATTGCTCGAGATATAATTAGTTTGTATTACACAAAAATTGAAATAAGGAGGCAAACATAATATTATTATATGGGTTGTTAATACCGTAAAACCTAATACTCCCTCCGTTTCAATTTATGTGAACCTATTTTCTTTTTAGTCCGTGCCAAAAAGAATGACCTATTTCCTTATTTGGAAACAATTTACCTTTATACAATGATTTATAGCCACACAAAATATATGTGACTCATTTTACACCACAAGTTCAAAAATCTTCTCTCTTTTCTTAAACTCTATGTACAGTCAAATGGGTTCACATAAATTGAAACGGAGGGAGTATATATGAAGGAAGGTATCTTAAAATTATTCCTAATTAATAAAAAAAAATATTATCTCCTTTTATTGTCAACTTAATAAAGTTGCAACAACCTTTTTCAAGTTTTTTTAGTTAGTGTGAAATGTTATTATTTGTTTTGTTTAGTGACACAGGATGATAGGAATGCATCTAATATTCTTTACTAGTTCTCAATTTTTTTTATCAAATTCTAAGTTACAATTAATTTTTAGTCCTCCAACAAATTAAAGGTTTTCTTTACCACATAAAATCGCCATGCATATGATGAACAACAGACTATATATATGATTATATTATTTAAATTGCACTTCAAAACATAAGTTTTACATTTTGATCTCATTGTGGAATACAATATTCCGTTCATTTGTACGATATTTATCATAAAAAAATGTTTTATCATAAATTGGCGTTTATCCAATTCCTAAAATGAACATATGCTACATTGGCTAGTCAAGTTGTTGGCTGAACTAATTTTGGAATTTTACATAAATATTTCTTATATTTATTGGATAAAGACCATGAAACTTACTCTCATATGCTCCTTCAAGTGTAACTAAGGTAGTCTACCTAGTTAAAACTTACTTGCATTCAATATTCACATCAACCAAATGAATATAAAACAAGTATTTATCATATCTATCACTTAATTATAGTTAAATGATTTTTATTTTTATTTTTATTTTAATTATTAAGATTAAATAACTTTAAGGACCCATTTGTCCATAAGAATTTTTTTACTTTTTTTTGGGGAAAAAATCACTATTTTCGGAATCAGTGTTTGTCCATGAAAATTTTAAAATTCACTTGAAGTTGAATTTCTGAATTTTTCGGAAATTGAAAAAACTCCAAAAAGTTGTCTTTCAAAATTTTTACATCAAATCACTCACAAAAATTCAAAAACAGCTCCAAATTGCATTCATGTCCAAACACAACTCTAATTTTCAAATACCATTTTCACTTAAAATTCTTTTTCACTTTTTTTTCAAAATTTTAAATAACTTATGTACAAACCCCACTTAATCTAACGTAAATTTACTGTGTACATGCCGTTGACCTGGCTAAATTCAACAATATTTGCAGTTTGATATTCATTTTGCATAGACAAAAATTATGTGGCTGAAATCTACGGTGATAAGTCTAAAGTCCATAACCACACACGTGTCAAACAACAAGTGGTCAATACAAGCCACATGCATGGCAGAATCTGGAACTGATAATGTTTTTACAATTTCCTACCTACGTAGATAATGCAAATACAAAGATCTCATTACATACAAAAACTCATTACTCTTTTTTCAGTCCAATTCTTCTTCAATGGCTATTGCCAAATCTTCAGATTGGTCATTTCCACCTTGCATTAACTGTAAAAACAGAATCTTGAAACCAAAAATATGCTATTCTTGTAAAACTCTACCTTTCCTCTCAAATATTTACTTTAATTCAAGAACTCTGGTTGCTAAATCCTCTAGCTGTTCATCTCCTGTCTTAGAAGAAAAAAGCCAAAAAACACCCTCAAAAAATTCCAAAATAATAGAATTGGACTTAGAACTTCAAGATTATACTACTACTCCTACTACTTCTACTTGTTTGACTGATTCCAAGGATTTGAATGGTCTAATATGCAGTTTACTTAAAGATCCTCAAACTCAAGGAATTGGATATGATTACTATGAGAAAGCCAAGGAAAATACAGATTTTAGACCTGAAAAATCAACACTAAAGCTTCTTATCAGGTATTTGGTGTATTCAAACAAATGGGGTTCAATTATTTCATTGTGTGAAGATTTGAGAAGTTCTCAAATATTGCCTGATAGTTCAACATGCTGTAAATTTATTACTAGCTGCATAAAAGCAAGAAAATTCAAGATTGTAAATAATTTGCTTGAAGTGTTTATAATTTCTGATCAAGAACTTTCTGTTTTGGCCTTTGATTCTGCTATGAAAGGTTACAATAAGTTGCATATGTATAGCAGCAGTGTTGTTTTGTATGAAAGAATGAGATCTGCTGGACTTGTATTAGACCCTGGCTGTTATTGTAGTATAATGGAAGCACATTTAAAAATGGGGCATTGTGACAAAGTTGTGGCATTTTTTCAAGAATTTGAGAGCAGGAAAATAGTGTCCACACCTTATGATGCTCAAATTTACAAGAATCTGTGTGAGTCATTAGGGAAATCGGGGCGCGCTTTTGAGGCTTTGGAGTACTTTAGAGACATGAACAAGAAGGGAATTCAAGAGGATCATTCATTTTATTCCATACTTATCTGTGGATTCGCGAGCATTCGTGAAGTGAAAATGGCTGAGGAAATTTTAGAAGAAGCTGAAGGCAAGAGAATGCTGAGGGATCCAGCTTTGTTCTTCAAACTAGTATTGATGTATATTGAAGAGGGGTTGATGGAAAAGGCTCTTGATGTTGTTGCAGTAATGGCTCGGGTAAAAATCCGAGTCTCTGATTGCATATTTTGTGCAATTGTGAATGGCTTCTCAAGAAAAAGAGGTCTTAGATCTGCAGTTAAAGTGTATGAAGATCTTTGTTCACAAGGCTGTGAACCAGGTCAAGTAACATATGCTTCAGTATTGAACTTATATTGTAGGCTTGGATTGTATTCTAATGCAGAAATGGTATTTTCTGAGATGGAGCAAAAGGGGTTTGATAAATGTGTAGTGGCTTATTCTAGCATGATTGCAATGTATGGAAAAACAGAAAGGCCTAAAGATGCAATGAAACTTGTTGCAAAAATGAAAGAAAGAGGATGTCAACCAAATGTGTGGGTATACAATGCACTTTTAGACATTCATGGAAAAGTTCTAAACTTAAGGCAAGTGGAAAAAATATGGAAGGAGATGAAGAGAAGGAAGATTTTTCCGGATAGGGTAAGTTACACAAGCATTATAACTGCTTATAGCAGAGCAAGGGAATTTGACAAGTGCTTAACATATTACCAAGAATTTACACTAAACGGCGGAAGAATTGATAGGGCAATGGCTGGGATTATGGTTGGTGTTTTCTCTAAAATGAATAGAGTTGATGAGTTGATTGGTCTTTTGCAAAATATGAAGAGAGAAGGCACAAAGTTAGATGGGAGACTTCATAGGTCAGCTTTGAATTCTCTGAGGGATGCAGGGCTGCAAATTCAAGCAAAATGGATGCAAGAAAGTTTTGGTGCAACATGAGTTGTTTTCCCTTTGTAGATACCAACTGTATGGTGTATCATATAAAGTGATTTGACAATGGAAAAATTACATTGTGTTGATGCAAGAACTAACACAGATTTGCCCATTTTAAAGCATTGAGTCACTCCTTAAAACTGTAGAATTACTTGTTGAATTATGACTTATACTCATAGTTTGATGCATTCTAAAGAATGCAAAAACAATTCCTATCCCATCAAGCTTTGAAAAATATATACCATTGTCGCTGTCAACCATGTATAGATGTGGGGGTGGGGTGGNAGCCACAAGTATCTATGAAACAAAAATACTGCAAATCTTGCATCCATATACTTGTTGAAATTTCTTTACTGATGATATTCCATTTCCTGCTGCTTTTTGCTACCAAAAAGGTTTGTTGATAAGTCATTTCTATTTCGATAAAACAAACATTACATTATTTACAGGTCATTTTGGTTCTATTTCAAAGATGAGCTAACTGATCAGGGTTTTTTTTTTTTGACGACAGAGAAACTAGAAAAGAAAGTCAAAAGATTATTCTTCGTCTATCATTCGTTTTTGTTAATTCTTTTACTCCAATGCCTAAAACAATTATATTTTGCACTGAATTCATGCAGTGAACTCTGCAATCCCTCTGAAATTACCAGTGTTGTGAGTGGTGACTTGTTATCTACATACAAACCACAACACCAGATTAATGAAAGCTTAAACTGTTACTTCCAGATAAATTAGAATTCAACAAGTTGTCCAAATGAAACATAGATGACCAAATAAGTGAATGCAAATTGCAAAATCTTGAGGGTATTTTAGCATGGTCATTCACTAAGGAGGTCGACCGCGTTTTTTACCTGGAGCATAAATATATGTGAGAAAACATCATAATCTCAATAAATATGAAATTTTGAACCCATAATTGCAAATATGCAATGAATTCGTGCAGCGAGGACCAAACAAACTCATCCCCTTCAGTTTAAATTTTGGATCCACCTTTGAAGGAGGTTTAAATTTTCAATGAGTGTCCTTAAATAGCTGTAAGCCATACTGCCACTACCATAATCGATATATGTTTATCATCTTCTCCCATAGTCTTTTTATCGTTCATCAAATCATTGCTCAAATTTGTCCAGTTAAAGAAACCTGCATATTGTTGGTTTCCAATGTTTGAGAAGATGACCATTCTCAATGAACCAAACAGAAGTTTAAATTACTAACTGAGACATGAATTAGGAACAATTTATGCTATAGCTCACAATCCAATGATAGTTGTCAAGGATTCACCTCAACTGCCAAACTGATTAAGGAAAAGCTAGCTTTGCAGAAATAACTTGATAAATTGATAAAGCTGTTGATCCTACACTATTAGAGTATGCATCATTTGACATTGCCAACTTGTCACCAAATATGACATGGGAGAACATTTGAAGTCCAAACCTTACATAATACTTGTAGGAAGGTTATTTTAAGTTATTAGAAAACATTGAACACAGTAACCACCACCAAGAAGTTTGCATACTCGCAAGCTCTCACATGAAAAATGTACAAGATGACATCAAATAATTCTGACTTCTTATGATACCGTTGTGCCAGTGAGTTCAAGTTGGGCTACTGCCTCGTTGATCACATCGATGATGTTCGTTTTACCCCTGCTAACTGCCTCGTCGATAGGAGTCCTCTCATGGCTAAAAAGACAGCACAGTGAACTCAGCGAAGAAAGGAAATCACAGGCAAAAGCAGCAAAAGCTTACTTGATCTGAAAATCTATTAGCCCTTTAAGTTAGAAATACATCACCTATTTAAGGCTGAGACACTTGCTCCAGCAAGGATTAAGCTCTTCACTACCTAACAAGACATCATAGAAATTAAGGGATGCTAGAGACTTATAACCCAAGAGTAATGAAAAATTTACCTCAATATGTCCGTTTAGGCAAGCCCAATGAAGAGGTGTATTTTTCTCCACATTGGAAGCATTGACATCCTGCTACCAAGAATTAGATTAATCATGTTTCATCACTCAACTGTATCGGAACATATCAAAGGATAAGAGAAGTTGAAGCTCCGCTCCAAAGAGACTATTTTGATACTCAGAATACTCCCCAATGTCTGGCTCAAATTTTAAAAAACTAAATCATGCCCAATGAGAAATGCAGTCAAGTGACATCACAATTTTGTCAATGAATGCAGTTCCTATATAGGGAGAACAACGATTATTCATTAAAGAGAGATACAACTAAATCAGATCAAGAAGAATGTAACTAGTAGACATATTCAGCTATGTAATGTAATAATGCAAATAAGTGGCCCGGTCCACTCACCGCTCCATTACGAATAAGATATTCTACAATGCCGGAATGCCCATTTGCCGAAGCCATATGAAGTGCTGCAATAATTAAATAGCCAAAGCAAGTAGTTAGTTCAGCAAGTCATATAAGAAATCTACTAGTTCCGGAAAAATATGTAATTCAAACCTTAGGACTTCAGGTATGGGTACTCGACGACATTAAAATTATTCATATTACTAACCAATTAGTTCTGGCAGAATATGTAGTTCAAGATTTAGGACATTAGGAATGGTAGATATTCAACTCAACCGGAACACAAGGTGTAGCCTAGCGATCAATGAGTGGGTGAGAACTAAGGATAGTTAGGTTTTCAAATCACAACAAAGACAACAAAAAACTCCTAGTGCTTTCTTTCAACGGCCTAAACCTTGAGGGGTAGAGTTACCATGTACTTTGCTGGTGAGAGGTAGTAGGTACCCGGTAGAGTAGTAGCCGAGTTATGCACAAGCTGGCCCGAACACCACTATTGTTTTAAAAAATTAAGTCAACTGTTAGGTGGTCCCAATCGGTTTTATGTACTTGGTCTCCTTTTATGATCTTGGGCAATCCTCACCTTATGAGCTAGCTTTTAGGGATTGAATTATGCCCATGTTGATTTCTTATCATGACATAAGACCCATCCCAATTCTTGATTTACCCGATGTTGGACCCATATATTATGTCGTCCACGCTCCAGTTGAAGGCCTGGACGTGCAGGGGAGGGGGCGATTTTAAGTTATCCGACATGATTGTGGGAATGTGAACTTTGTGTCCTTATATGATTTTAGGCAATTCTCACCTCATGAGCTAGCTTTTAACTTGAAGTAGGCCCAAGGTTCGTTTCTTATATCAACCAAATTAAATTTCTTTGTTTGGAACTCATCTTCTACTGAATTAGACGGCTTGTACAACAATATAATGTTATGCCAATTTATAATAATTGGCGAGTCCGTATCAGATTTAGGATATGAAAGTAATAGCTACTCAAAAGGGTGAGAACTCAAAATTCAAAATCTAAGAAGTTAGGGGCTTAAACTTGGTTAGAAGTTAAACCACTTGGTTATTGGTCTTTTGGCTTACAACGATCAAGAAAATTTGATCTTGCAACATGGAATTCCAGTTGTTGAACCGTTGTGACTATCATTGTACTTTGATTGCATCCAATATTACATTTATATCCTAGGAAAACATGCTATCTTTATGGGGAAGTTCATAACTTTGAGAAACGGAAACATCAGAATGGAAAGGTATCCATAAGTTTGTGAAATTGTTGGAAGCTAATGTTCATTTAGGTTTCTGAAATTCACATTTTCTATTCATGGTATTTAAGTACTCCAGCATTTGCTTTTGAGTCTATTCCACAAAGAATGACAACTTTCTAATTTAGAAATAATTTAACTTTAAACTTCTCATTTTCCCTTAGTGATAAGTTTTTTATAACCACATTACAAAGAGAGTATATGACATCATTATCCTAAATATTTGACTTAGAAATAAGTTTAAAATATGCTTCGAGTTAGGACACTTGTATTAAGGACAAAATAATAAAGGGTTAATTACGGATATGTTCTGAGAGTTAAATTAACTTCATGGTTTCTCCATAGTTTTTACCAATATAAAAAAGAAACCCAAAAGGAACACGAAAGTTTTTGCTACATCCAAATATATGTTTTAAGAAGATTCTTCACATGTATGACCAAACAATCACAATTAGAGTATGATAAATGGTTGACTGGTAATTTATCAATTTTTTTAAGTAAAAATGAATTTTTTCCTAAGAATTTTTGTCATGTTCAATTTTTTTGCTTTGTAGATGACCTGACAATAAAACCAGTTTCCCATTAGCTACAAATTAGAATATATGACTGATTAAAAAACTGCATTAACAACACTTCCAACTATAACGACCATCTCTGATACTAATAGGACGGAGATCTAATTAGCAAGAAGCAGTAAAGTTGGTAATTCAGTGTATAAGTTAAAAGGAATGCCTTAGCTTATATAAGATAAAAGGAATGTTTTAGCTTATATGAGATGGCTCTAAATCACAAGAAACCAATATAACTTGTTGCAGAGAAGGAAAATGAAAGTGCTCAACACTAAGCATAATATACGAGAGCCATGCCAATATCTTTTTTTCTGAAAGCTGTCATCCCATATAGGAAAAAGTAGATAGGGCAGGCCAAGTAATGCATTTGTTGAAAAAAAAAAGTGTGTTTTCTCTGACAGTTTAAACATTTAGATAAGACGGTCACACACTTTAACGTGGTATCAGAGCTAAGTTCATCCCAATTCTTAGTTTCCCGATGTTAGGCCCCATTGTGATGTTGCTCACACACCAAATGTCTAATCCTGAGCGAGCAAGGAAATATTGAGTTTGTCCACATCTCCTTATATCGTCTTAGGCAATCCTCACCTCATGAGCTAACTTTTGAGGTTGAGATAGGCCTAATTCTTATCACGGTATTAGAGTCAGACCCATCCGAATTCTTGATTTACTTGATGTTGGCCCCCATGTTATGTTTTCCGCGCACCACGTTACCACAGTAAAAACAAAACTAGAAAGCCACATTCTGTCCTACAATTACCTAAAAGAAAAGGTTAAACAAGGACATAAAAAATGCAGAAATACTAACATTATCAAAATGACACTTCTAACAAATTTTATCATTCGGATAGAAAGTGCCAATGTTCTATATTAAATAATTCAGCCCTTCGAAATTAGTAGATGAAGAGTTTGCCTTCGCATTTAATGAGAAAAACAAGCAAAATGTAATCATTTTAAAGACATGCTTGAAATGCCTTGTGGGTTACCATTGTTGCAGGCTCCAATGCTCTAATTAACGAGACTATCGGGGCTCCAGACGACTCGTCAAGAGTGTCATGTGACCACATGGATTAACCTTTACTATAGCAGAAAACCTTCAAAATGATTAGCTGATTTCGACTATTTTCGACCTTCTGCAATGAAACTACCAACAATGTGATGTTGCATCACCAGTCCAAGTCATTGTTGGTAGTTTCTTTGAGGAAGGTCGAAAAGAGTCGAAATCAGTTAATCATTTTGAAGTATCTCCTACTCTAATAAGGCCAATCCGCACGGGGTAAATGGAGCCATTAGCCTACCATCACATAGCACTCTTAACAAGTCGTCGAAGGGCTAGGCAATCTTGTCAATTAGAACACTGAAGCCTACAACAATGCGAACTAACAATATCAAGCATGTCTTGAAAATAAGTCCGTTCAGCTTGTTTTTCTCACTAAATATGCAGGTGGGCTCCTCATCTACTAATTTCAACAGGCTGAATTATTAAATGTAGCCGTGCAAGGACCATAGGCACTTTCAATCTTGATGATAGAATTTGAGTAAAGTGTTATTTTGATAATGTCAGTGATTTTGCAATTTTCTACCTTATTTAACCTTTTCCGTTAAGTAATCATAGGACAAAAATTGCATTCTAGTTTTATTTTGGTTGTGATAACATGGTGCTATTGATTATTAGGGGTATTAGAATCTTGTCTTTGGTCTTTTAAAAAAACAAAAGTGGACATCTAGTGCATGGACAATATGATAGGGGTCCGACATCAAATAAACCAAGAATCTGAATGAGCCTGACTATGATACCATGATAAAAACTAGACCTTGATTTTCTATGTCCAAGCACCAAATGTAGGAAGGTATGGAAGTCGAGCATTAGGGTTGAAGGTTAGGGGGTAATCGAGCGTTTTTCTACTTTAAACTGGGGATGGGGCTAGTCTGATGGTGTTTTGTCTTGGATTGCTAGTGGTTTATGTTGTGTTCACACTATTTTTCCGTTTTTCTTAGTACTGTGTCATTATTACTGGTTATTGTTGTTGTCTTTCCATCTATTTTTGTCTCTTGCAATGTTGATATTATCACTCTGGTTGTTGTTGCTGGTATGGATCTATCGTCTCTTTTCGTCCTTTTGAGTCGAGGGTCTTCCAAAAACAACTTATCTACTCCTCCGGGGTAAGGGTAAGGTCTGCGTACACTCTACCCTCTCAAGATCCCACTTGTGTGATTTTAATGGGTTGTTGTTGTTGTTATAGTATGCACCAAATGTAAGGAACAAATTATACCTTTTGCTCATATAAACATTACCTCACCGGAAACAAAACTTCTTGTGTCTTGGCTCCAGTAATAGAGGTAATCTCAACTCGGATAACCATCGAATAATCAAATAAAGCATTTGGGAGAATGGGAAATGCTATTCTTAAATAGGGTACAAAACTATAACCTGTTCGGCCCTCTGAATCCTTTGAATCAAGAGAAACACCAGAAGATGCTAAGCTCGTGACATCATCCAAATCATCATATCTCGCAGCCTGTTAATGGAGAACAAGCGATAGAGAGATCAAGGGCATTAAATCAAGCAAAAAATCTTGCACCACTTGAGTGCAGATTGATTTAGAATTCTTAGAAGTTCGGACTTAGGCAGACTTCTATAACCACCAGAGTTCATTACGCTATTGTTCACTCAATTTGTAAACCAAGATTACGGCTACATCATGGTTAACATAAAACAAACATAGAAGCTAACTTGAGGTACCTCAAGCAAGGCTTCAGTCGTTTCAGCCGTCGTTTCAGAATGAGTCTGCTCCAGTGTATTATCCTCAGCTCCCATTCCTGCCAATTTCCAAAACAACTTTCTGTGTGATTAAAGAGAGCAATAGCGATAGAAAGACAGAATAACAAGCTACTCTAACTGCTTTATCTCATCTTAGTCCAGCCATGTACAACACAAATGATGATGTTTTGCTGATAGTTTTAACAGCCATATCACAATTGGTACCTGTGGTCATCTGGTTAAGACTAATTATTCAATAGATCAATCTACTACACCTAAATTCTAGTTGGAATTGGAAGCATAAATTCCCTGTACTCATTTATCCGTTCCATTCCCTTTCATCTGTAGCCACCAGCAGTGGTGGAGCTAAGTAGAGGCAAGATTTCAATTAAAATCTCCTTTGTTGTAAAATTATACTGTGCAAATAGAGTAAAAACGAATTCCTTTGATTATATATAAACTCTTAAATCTCCTTAATATAAGTAAAAAGTCTAGTGGCGGCGAAAACGGCACAGACAGAGATAAATTACCTGTTAAAGTGTTGCACCACCAAAAGGCTCGACGGTGACGGCGGTTGCTACGGCGGTTAACCGATGAAAAGAGTAGAGGACAGGAAACCCTGAAGGCTCGTTAATTCGAATTATCTTCTTTTTTTTATTTCGAAAAATTCGGACTGACGTCTAATTGCAGTAATTTTGTTAAAAAATGGAGTAATTCATTTCGAGAACTTCTTTATTTAACGACCTAAACAACCCAAAAAACTTACACAATACCTAATAAGTGTTTCAAGAAATCTTTTATTAAAGCAAAGAGTGCCTTAGAAAAACAAATTGGAGTTAATTTCATGTATAATCACATAATTTCCTCAATTATTGGAGTATTTTTACTCTGACAATTGTTCGAAACATATGATAATTGGAAGGTCAAATAAAGATAAAGTAAATAAATCAAAGACAAGTAGATAGATTGATATATTATTCAATTTCAAACTCATTTACATAATTAACTGAAATCTCTACTATTATAGAAGAAGGAAAATTGTTGTGTAAGCTGCTAGTGCAAGCTGCTACTACAAGTTGTTGTGTAAGCTGCATGTAAGGTATTACTGCAAGTTGATGTGTAAGCTGCTATTGTACCAGATATTGATAATTTTCTATCGGGGTAATATTTATCCATAACGGAGTACCGAAAGGATAAGATCATTGTACCAAATATAGATAATCTTCTACCGGAGTAATATTTATCCATAACGGAGTACCGAAAGGATAAGTTTCTCCAGGAAGCTTATTTCCAATAGAGTATTAAATAGATAAATATATTTACGGCGGAGTCCCATATGGATAAGCTTCTTCAGGAAGCTTATTTACAACGGAGTACTAAATGAATATCCATAATATAATATATTTATAATACTCCCCCTTGGATGTTAACTAAAAGATAATGTGCCTCATTAAAACCTTAATAAGAAAAACCCTGTGGGAAAAAATTCTAGTGAAGGAAAAAGAGTACGCATATTTAGTAATACGCGTTGCTAGCTGCATCATTAAAAACTTTACAAAGAAAACCCTATGGAAAAACCTTAGTAAGGGAAAAAGAGTACATCGCGTATTTTACTCCCCTTAATGAAAACTTTATTTCAAATATCGAGTCTCCGCATTCCAATCTTGTATATTATCTTCTCAAAAGTTGAAGTTGGTAAATATTTAATGAATAAATCTGCTGGATTGTCACTTGAACGGATTTGCTGCACAATGATATTACCATTCTTCACGAGATCATGTGTGAAGAATAATTTTGGTAAAATGTGTTTCGTTCTATCTCCTTTTATGAATCCTCCCTTTAATTGGGTTATGCATGCAACATTGTCTTCTTATAATATTATGGGTTTTTTATCACATTCCAACCCATATTTTTCTCGAATAAAATGAATCACTAATCTCAACCATACACATTCCCCGCTTGCTTCATGAATAGCTATTATCTCAGCATGATTTGAAGAAGTAGTAGCAATAGATTGCTTTGTGAAGCGTCATGATATGACATTACCTCCACATGTAAATACATACCTAATTTTAAAGCGGGCTTTATAGGGATCGGATAAATAACATGCATCTGCATAATCAATACGATATGCACCACCTTTGTTAGCATTAGCAAGATACATAAGTGCACCAATTGCACTGAGATTGAGTATTTCAGGACCAAGGAGTTCATCATCCTCTTCCGAAGGCCAGAACGGATCCTTATTCACTTCAAGTGATCAAACACACATTGGTGTACGTAATGGGTGCGCTTTGTCTATGTAAAAACATTTAAAGACCCTTTCTATATAGGCAGATTGATGGATAAAGATCTCGTTTGCTAAATATTCAATTTGCGGACAAAGACAAAAATTTATTTTTTCAAGATCTTTCATCTCAAATTCTTTCTTAACAAATTCTGGAGTTCCAACAAGATTTATGTCATCAACATAAACAACAAGTATAACAAATTCTGATGTCATTTTCTTTATAAAAATACATGGATAAATAACAACATTTATGTAACCTTCTTTCAGCAAATATGCACTGAGACGATTATATCACATGCGCCCATATTGATTTAAACCGTATAAACAACAACAACAACCCAATATAATTTTACTAGTGAGTTTTGGGGAGGGTAGTGTGTATGCAGACCTTACCCCTATCCTGGGGTAGGGAGGCTATTTCCGATAGACCCTCGGCTCCCTCCCTCCAAGAACTCCCTACCTTGCTCTTGGGGTGACTCGAACTCACAACCTCTTGGTTGGAAGTGGAGGGTGCTCACCACTAGAGCTGTGATAATCCAAAATGTCATCTTTAATTTAAACATTCATTTCTGTGTCCTAAGATCTCAAAAAGCACTATTTATCATTCCCCAACTTGCGGACGCAGTCCGTAAATTTTTTCGAAAAGTTTTTATGTGAAAAATTGATTAAAATGTGAAAATGGAGCTTCAAAACTCATTTGAATTGACTTCGGTCAACGTTTTGAGCAAATGGACCCGGATCAGTATTTGACAGTTCCGGTAGGTCCGTATCGTGATTTGAGACTTGGACGTATGCCGGAAATCGAATTCGGAGGCCCCAACCTCGAATTATCGCCAATTAACGGAAATTAGAAATCTAAAGGCTAAAGATTTTCAAAGTTTGATCGTGAATTTAACTTTAACGATATCAGACTCGAGTTGAGATTCCGAGAGTTGAAATAGCTCCGTTATGTCATTTATGACTTGTGTGCCAAATTTGAAATCATTATGGATTCATTTAATACGTTTCGGCACTGGTTTAGTAATGTGAAAAGTTTGAAACTCATAAGTCCGAATCGAGGAGTGAATTGTAATTTTGACATTATTTGACGTGATTTGAGACCTCGAGTAAGTTTATATTATGTTACCGGACTTATCGGAATACTTGGTCGAGGTCTCGAGGGCCGCAGTGGATATCGGATGGTTAACGGAGTTTAATTTGGATATTCTAGAATGTTTCAACGTCGTTTATTCAAGAATAAGTGGTATAATATTAAGCAAATGAGCTACAAATTCAGTTTTGATTGAAGCATTAGATTCATATTGAAATTTCGGAGCCATAGCAAAAAAGAATTGGTGAATTCAGACATCGTATGAGAGAGTTATGCCCATTTCCGTGTCAGAATATATTTTCCATCGTCGTGAGCGTCCAGGGTAGCGTGTGGCGCTATCCCTAGCGCTCGGACTGCTAGAGGTACTGGAAACGGCGCCACAGGCAGCGCCCCACGCCACCTGTGGCGCCACGGACATAAAAATCCCATAAAACGGGGAGTTTTGCCATTTTTACTCATTTTTGAGTTTTGAGTCTCAGATTTAGGCGATTTTTGGGTGATTTTCACAGGAAAACATTGGGGTAAGTGTTCCTTATCCTATATTGATTATATTTTATAATTTCATACTCATTTACATCATGAATCCGTGAATTTATGGAAGAAAAATCAGATGTTTATAAAATCTTTCAAAAATATAAAATGAAGATTTGAAGGTCAATCCGATGTCGGAATTCGATAATTTTTGTATGGTTGAACTCGTATCGGAACGGGGGTTCGAATTTTGTGAGTTTTTCTGGAATTAATCCTACGATTCGTGTTGAGTATATTGAATTATTTGTGACTAGATTTAAAACTTTCATACACGAATTCGCGAGGCAAAGGTTGATTGGAATCTTGAAATTGGTTGCGAAAGAGGTAAGTGTCGTGGTTAACCTTGACTTGAGGAAATAGAACCCTTGAATTAATTGTTATGTGAAATTCATGTGAGCGACGTATAGGCGAGGTGACGAGTGTCTATATGTTGTCAAATTAATTGTTTGCATAATTATTTGAAAATCGTAAATTATTTTAAATCATGAATTAATTATTTTATTAATTATTTCTCTCATATTCCTTGTCGCATATTATGTCTTGAATCCATCCTATAATTGCTACATGTTTATTTGAATTATGTGTCTTAATTGCTACTTGATATTTAGTACAGAAAATATTAAACTGCCTATTTTCTCCTTGATTTCCATAATTAATTGTTACTTGTCATTACTTATTTCCAAAATAAATTATAATCATTGTATTTCTTGTTGTATAATAATTTCTTATTTGATATGATATTTATCGGAATATTTAATTTACATTTAAGAATTTTTAAATTATATTTTTGGAGCCGGTTGCACGCCGCAACAGATTTATTTTAAATTTATATTGTTGGAGCGGGTTGCACGCCGCAACGGATTTATTGAAAGTTTATATTGTTGGAGCGGGTTGCACGCCGCAACGGATTTATTGAAAGTTTATATTGTTGGAGCGGGTTGCACGCCGCAGCGGAATTTAATTGAAAGATTACATTGTTGGATCGGGTTGTATGCCGCAACGAAATTTATGTTAAGTTTATATTGTTGGAGTGGGTTGTACGCTGCAACGGGAATTAATTGAGGGCTTATGACTGTTGAATTGACTTCAATTATTGATATAATTTAACAGTCTTACTTTTATTCATGTTATAATTATTATTATTGCGTACAGGTTAATGTAAGTGACATGCCTTAGCCTCGTCACTACTTCGTCGAGGTTAGGCTCGGCACTTACTGGGTACATGGGGTCAATTGTACTCATACTATATTTTGCACTTCTTATGCAGATACCGGAGTTGGTCCCAGCGGCGTATAGTAGATTTGCTCGTATTAATCTATTCGCAGGAGACTTGAGGTATAACTGCATGGCGTTCGCAGTTCTGAAGTCCCTTCTACTTTATTTTAGTTGTGTGCTTTCTTTCAGACGACTTTATTTTATTCAGACCCTTGTTTGTATTATTCTAGAAGCTCGTGCACTTGTGACTCCAGTTCTGTGATGGTATTTAGACATCGCTATTATTATGAATTATTTACTTTATTTCAGACTTTGTTTCCGCATTTGTTCCTTTGTTATTAATTAATTTAAAATTATTTTAAAATGGCTAATATTATTCTAATGTTGGCTTGCCTAGCAAGTGAAATGTTAGGCACCATCACGGTCCCGAAGGTGGGAATTTTGGGTCGTGATAAGTTGGTACCAGAACACTAGGTTACATAGGTCTCACGAGTCACGAGCAAGCTTAGTAGAGTCTGAAGGATCGGTACGGAGACGTCTGTACTTATCTTCGAGAGGCTATGAAG